AAGCTACAGGACAAAATCCACTACTCCCGCCCTTTTCCTATTTCTCAGAGAACATTTGGCGAAAGCTTTATTGTCCAATTATGATAGATGCCAGACTGTCAGGTTGGGGTAGAATCCTCGGGATCCTCTTTGTTCAAGGATCTGGTCAGTGGAGGATTCTCGACTCCCAATCCACATTCTGGTCCTGTCCGCTGTGCACATCACAGGTGTAGAAAACTAGCAGGTGGATTTTCTCAGTCATCAACGTCTGAATCCAAGAGAGTAGTCCCCTCACCCCGAGGTATGATGGAACCTTTATGCAAAGTGGGGATGCTAGACATCAACCTTCTGACGTCCAGGTTCAACAACAAACTGGACTAGTTTGTCCCCAGTGAGAGACTGCTTGCCTCTCGTTCTCTAACTAAGGCCTTTGTGCAGGGAGTCACTTATGTTGTCCCTTTTGTACGCAATCCTGAGACTCTATGCTGACCCTATGCCGTGTGATGTACTGTAAGAAACAAATTGTACAGGTAAGATACAAATCCTGTTTTATTTTTTCATTTATATTATTTTTTTTTAAACTGTATTAGAATGTTGTCAGTTTTTGAAGAGTAATTAAGAGGTGTGTGTGTGTGTGTGTTTGTTTTCTTTTATATCTGTCTTAGGGCTTGTTCAAACCATCTCTAGACCAGTGCATTTTTTAACTATACCAAAAACACATACACAGTAATTCCAATGGTTTTTCACATCATTGTGTTCAGATCCAGAGCTTTTTTAAAAAGTACAGCAGTATGCTTTTTTGCACTGGTACACACAACGCATGTGAACGCACTTAAACCTAAGCAAAACAAATAAAATAAGAATGCACTGGATTGCATCATACAGGCGTATGTGAAAATGCATATATAACTGCTCTGGAGATGGTGTGAACAAGCCCTTATTGTATTTGCAAACCATTTACTCTCCATTCTCAACAAAGTCATTTCTCATGCTACTAATATTGAAAACAATGAACACTTGGCTTTAAAGGAAGACCCCAATCAATAGTTTCATGTATAGGGTGTTCTCTGTTTCTGTTTCTGTTTCTCTATTTTTGTCTCTAGCCTCTTTTATTCAGCCTTCTTCTGCTACAGCCTGTAGATAGCAGGAACAAGACTTAGATTAGAATAAAGATAAAGTTGCAAAATGTTACAGTTGCTGAACTTAAGTGACATCAGCACATTTGTCCTAACCTGCACATAGAACTAGTAGTCGGTCCTGTGAGATATATATAATATATATACACACACACACACTTTTATCTCTGATTATCACGTGGATGAGGTGCATTTAGAGTAAACACTGGTCACAAAAGGTTTTTTTCTGGTAATGTTTTTTGCACAAAGTTCTGTTCTACTTCAAAAATGTCTATGCACTGATGATGTCTTATGACCTTTTTGCAAATAGACTTTTAATGCCCTTTGGTACAAACAACTTTTAGTGCACATTAAAGAGCAACTCTGTCTCTATTTAAAAAAATAAAACTAAATGTCCTGTTCTCAAGGAAATAATTAATATATCCCTTTCCCACCACCCATGCTGCCTGTCTTCACCCTATTGAAGAACTAAGCTTGTTAAAGATTCTTTATCATCCAACACCGTTTCAGATGCCTCTTCCTCTGCTGTGCCTATGTGCTGTGGTTCCTTCCTCTGCCCCTACTTTATAATTGTGTTCTGTTGTGATGTAGGGACCAGTGGAAGCAGTGATATGCGGTACCTCTTGCTCGGGGTGAGGCATTACCCAGTCCCACCCCTGCCAGCTGAAGATCCGCCTGTTGCCTGTCGAAGCTCTGCCCCATCAGATTAAGCCCGCCCCCACCCACCCCCAAGCTAGTGTAAAGGAGGACTGGAGGAGACAGGGAGGAGCCTCACTGTCCCTCACTTGCTCCTCACCGCTGAGGCTCTGTGACAGGTTACACAGCGGGGAGGATTTCCCTGCTGTGTAACCTTTTGGATGACGATCTGATTGGAGAAAAAGCTGTCAGCTTCAGACATGAAGCTGACAGCTTTTTCCTCCATAATTCTAGGTGAGGCTCTGCCTCCCCTGACCGCACGTCCCTGAGCGGAAGGAACCACAGTGTGCATAAGGGGAGCAAACATTAAACATACCAGAATGTGTCAGGTGCTAACGATTGTTCAGTAAGTTGACTCTATAATAAAGTGAAAATCAGCAGTGCAGCCAGTGTGAAAGATAAGTGTTAATTTTTTTCTTTGCCAAAAGGTCTGGGTTTTTTTTTAATGAATGGTTTTCATTATAATGGCATCCATATAAAAGCAGTAATTGTCTAGCTGTCTGTCTTCAGTACTTCTCAAGTCACTAATCCAAAACAAGTATACCAAAAAAGAACATCAGTACTCATGATCTGTATGTGTTTTGGGATAGCTTAGAAAGCTCTAATGCCATGAGATTAACAAGACAGCCAGGGAGGACTGCAAAGGGTGGTCACCAAAAGAAGTCTCCATATTTTCTCAGTAGATATGTTCTTTAATATATTGGACATATTTCAGTAGCAAGAGAGCCTGGAGTATTTGACTGGATTGTGATACTGATAACAATGTTTTCTAATTGCTGGATTACAATTTGCTACAATTGTAGGAATTCCTTTTTTTCTTTAACTTTTCTGCAGGATGGTTTTTATAGCAGAAGCTCAAGGAAAGCAGGCCATTTAAGAGTGAAGTGTAACACATCTGCTAAAAAAGGTATGGGATGTTTTCCTAAAATAATACAGCAAAAAGTTGCTGTTTTTTTATCCCTTCAGTAAAAGATATTGTGGTGATATTTTACATGTGCAACCCTGAACAGGGGGTTGTCCAAGTGTACTACAGTTCTATGACATTCTACATTGTAATTTGCAGGTGTCCCAAATGTTATTAGACTTACAAGTCAACGGCGTCCCGAGGCTGAGTGACACCCGGAGCGGTGTCCGAGTGTCACCACGCATGCGCGATGATGTCATCGCGCACGCGCGGCAGTATTCTGACACCTGCCGGCGGCTATCTTGGTGATGGACGCCGGCAGAGAGAGGAGGAGACAGCCACCCGGCGGGATAAGATATGCCGCCGGGTCCCCTCCTCTCTCCTGATACTGTCGGGCATTCGGTCCATGACCGAGCACCCGACTTTTCAGAGGGGGGGTGACACCAAAATGACTAAGTCATTTTGGTGTCACCCCTCCAATGGTGTCACCCGGGTGCGGGCTGCACCCCCCTTGTGACGCCACTGTTACAAGTCCAAAAGTCCCCGTTCACACCTAGGCATTTTGTTGCATAAACTTCAGTGAAAAGTGTTTTTGCACATTTTGTCGAACAAAGTCTCCCACTGTAGTCGTTGGGACCAAAAAGCGCTGTAATCTGCCAAAAAGTAGCTCATGTACTTTTTCCAGTGACAGGCGTTTTCCTGCTTGCAACAAAATGCTCAGGTGTGAACATGGGTCATACAAATCAATAGGATTCCTTGTCTTGAGTGTTTTGTCATGCTTAGCTTTAGGCCTTGTTCACACCAAATGCAGACCAGATCCGGTCAGGTTTCTGCACACGCACGATGCGTTTTTGATGCGGTTTTTTTTTCCCAGGAAGCTAACAAGGTTATGAGGTAATTTCCTTATACCTCTGACCTTTCATTAGCTGTTCCGATTATTTCCTGCTTCCTCTGACCTTGTTTCACATGTAAAATTGTTGCAACATGGACCCATGGGATGCAGGCATGCTCCTGGTGATGGTTATTATACTGCTACGCCAAAGTGCTGTAAGGAGATGTCATTTTTGGCTGCACCCACTGATGAGAGAAAGAGATCCAAAGGGCCAGTTTGGGACTCTATATGCAGACCTTCGTGCACACCCAGACAAGATTTTTTCATACACCCGCATGTCGATATCTAGGTAGGAATGTTTGCATGTGATGTGTCCCTTGTGATGGAATCTATCTCACACTCTCTCTCTCTCTATCACTCTCTCTATAACTCTCTCTCTATTTCTCTAGCAATCTCTCTCTCTCTATCACTTTCTCTATAACTCTCTATTTCTCTAGCAATCTCTCTCTTTCTCTATAACTCTCTCTCTATTTCTCTTGCAATCTCTCTCTCTCTATCACACTCTCTCTTTCTCTATATCTCTCTCTCTATTTCTCTAGCAATCTCTCTCTCTCTCTCTCTCTCTCTCTATCACTCTCTCTTTCTCTATAACCCTCTCTATTTCTCTAGCAATCTCTCTATCACTCTCTCTTTCTCTATAACTCTCTCTCTATTTCTCTATCACTCTCACTCTCTATAACTCTCTCTGTCTGCTATCATATAGCTCAGGGCACTGTTGAACCATACTTATGAATCTCTCTGGGTCACAAAACTGGTCCACCATTTTTCATTTGCTCTCCAGCTCACAAGGTCACCTTTTCCAAAGACAGGAAGTGACAAAGAAAGATTAGGTCATGACAGATGACCATATAGGTTTTTTTCTTTATGGTTATTTTTTCCCATTGAATTGCATTGCGTTGCGTTTTTGATGCGTTCCACGCTTAAGGGCTTGGTGTGAACAAGCCCTTAAGCGTCAAAATGCGTAGGTGTGAACAGGAGCTGAGGATGCATTTTTAGTTGAATGGGATCGCGTATCCACACTTCACTGTGCTTTGAAAAAAAGAGTTTTGCTACTGCCTATCCCACACCTGGCAGCTGTAAACCAATGAGAGCAGGTAATTGTAAAAAAAAAAAGGATCCATGCCCAGTCATTACTGACCAATTTTGTACAGACAGAGATGTGAACACTATAATTGGATATCCACACACGTGCACAGGATTCAGAAAAACTGTCTATCTCAATAAAAGACCCTCAGCAAAGCACAGCCACCTCCAAATGTCTTGTCTGTGAATAGTTAAGGAAATACTCACCCTTTATTCCGTAGCAGATTAGTTAAAATTGAATTGCCACTGTGATCAAATATAATTCAGTATTGTAATAAAAATAACTAATTTTCTAAATTTTTATATTTAGTACCAAAAGACCATAAAAAGAAAAGATGTCCTTGCACTGCTTCAAAATCCTTACTGGAAAGAATTGCATCCTTACAACATCAAGTATCTGTATTACAGAGAGTGAAACAGGCTGCTATGGCCTCTGTGAGCAAGCTGAATGAAGAAAAAATAAAACTAGCAGCTGAACTGCAGCTGGTGCACCAAAGACTTCAAATCAGCAAGCAGATGGCAAAGGTAAAAAAAATGCTCTTTGCTTTACATGTAACAGGAAGATTAGTGAAATAATGTCAGTTCTCAAATAAGATACCAAGCAGCATTGCTTTTATTTATTCTGCATTTGTCATGTCACATCTGTGTTTTTGCCTTTTCTGTAGTAAGTGGCAAGAAAATGGCCACTATTGTATTCTTTTTACAAATGATATATTTTAAACAATTGTGTTCTTCCCACTACCTGCTCCCACCTGGTCACCGGCATGTCTTCACTGTTGGATAGATTTCTTCCCAAGGCAAAAATGTTCTAGTGGGCAGCTGTTCTGTTTATCAATGCTGAGCTGAGTATGCAATTTTATTAGCAACTTTAGGCCTTACCAATTAGTCACCTAAGTGCCATGGCTCACATTATATGCATAATCAGCATACAGTAGGCCAGCAGGAAGTCAATATTAGGTGAAAGTGTTTTTAACCGTTTTAACAGTTTCTGAATGGTAATATTCACTGTTTTGTTTGTAATGCAGTAGGCATGTTTCTACTGTGTAAAAATGTGCACAGTTTTGGATATGCTGTTCTGGAAATCTTTTAAAGTTTGAATTGTGTTAATGGTGCTTTATAATCCAGTCTTCTGAAGTTGGGCTGATTCATAATGCATTTAAGAATTTGCAATGTTTACTGAATAAGACCTTTAGTTCCCTACAGTAGTGGATCCCCATTGGGGATTGGGGTGGTTCTAACGCCTCCTGGGGTCTGTGCTTGTTTGTGGCATTTGTTATAGACCTGGGGCTTACCTGGTATGCCCAGGTCTTCCCGGCCAGCCACAATTGTACTATCCCTTGGACTTATTTTCTGTGACAGCTGGGTTATGTCCTATGTTTCAGGAGCTCAGACATCAACTGCTATGCAAATGTAACCAACCAACAGTGTTTTAACACAGCTATTATTTTTTTTGTGTAAAAGTTTTTCTGTGTTTTTTAGTTTTTGTATTTTTTGTTCACTTTTTTTATGTAGCATCCCTTTAAAAATGACACAACATTGGAAAAAATATTTACTTCCTTTGTAAATAACTGTGGCATACTTTTGTACTGGAAGCATAATTTGTATCTCATTTTAAATAAGACTAGTTTGGTGGCATGGAATTGTTAGTGCGTTGATACAATTATGCAAAGTTTAAGATCTTGCTTGTTGACAGTTACACACTGGTATTGGAGAGAATTGTTCAGGCCCCTACATTTGCTGCTTTTAGGGTTCACAAAGACATATTTAAGCAGCATTCCTGGAGTAGGGGGCCTGAACTGAAAACAGCCCAGGGCCCAAGGTGCTTAGCCCATCATTGGTTACCTAAACTTGTAATAGCAGCCAACGTTTGAGCATGTATTATATATTTATTATGATTTAAAAAGCATAAATGCAATATACAATAACAAGTGATTACTGTTATAATGTGCATCCTATTTACTTAAGCTCCTTACATGTATAGTTTTGTTTCATATATAAAATGGGACTTGTGTAGAATGGAACCTACTTAAACATATTTTACTGTGCCATAGGGAATAGACCTTTCCATGGTCCATGGCACACTTGTTAATTTGTAACAGCATACGCTTCCTTCATATCCAAATCTCTCAATGATCCCCACAAGATAGTTTTGTTGGCAGAAACTGGAATACTACAGATAGACAGATGTTTTTGCAGTCCATACTTTGTAATCCACTAAAAGTCCCAGTGGGTAAAATCACATGTAGATGAGAGATTTATAAATACTGCATAAGTTTTGAAACATATTTTGTAGTTTATTCAGCCTGACTGATGTGCAGCATCTGCTACCTAATATCCTTCAGTTCTACTATTCTGATTTTGTAGAGATTTATTTGTAATCATAGAAACTGCACTTGTGTTACGGTTTTACATATTACTGTCAGCATCAGACTAGAAAACAGGGGACCACTAAAGTGGCCTTCTCTGAGAAACACCAGCCCAGTGTGGAGGGCCACTAGGCTTTCCTCTTTTTGAGTGCCTCAGCAGGAGTTGTAAAAATATTAGAGGATATAGGAGGTATGTGCATCTTACCTACCTGAGGTGAAGAAGGTAACTTTGGTACTTTTGGCCCAGTGAACTGATATTTGGGTCCATTGAGTGGTAGGTAGAAAGTGAAGAAAAAAAATATTGGAACAAGAGTTTAATAGAATCTACAAAAAATCCATTATGAGTCATCTTTCTTCCTCAATTACTCCTTACCCTGTTGTGAGTAAAGCGTATCCAATGTAGGGCTCCATTCACGGAAGTGTTTGTGTTTTCCGTGCACAAAACTGCACAGCATGAAAATGCACAAATTTTAACATACATGCACATGCTGCACGTTTGTGGCTACTACTATAGCTGGAACATGTGGAATCCTCCCAGAATATCACACTTGGACTTTTTTGCACGGCGCATGTTTTCATAATCGCGGAACGTGAACAAAATATATTGGAATTTACTTGTTTTTATTTTTAGCGTGTTTCCGCTAGTGTGTGAACAGAGCTTGAAACTATTTCAGTCTTGCAAGGGTTATATAGTCTTCCAGGTAGCTCCCTGGCTGCCATCGAAATGCTTTGACTAAAACAAATTTCTGACCCAGAACAAGTATAAATATAAGGAATTCTGACATCTTTCAGACATTCATTTACATTATTAGTGGTTCTGTATCTGGCATTCAGAACTATTGAATCTAAACATTGCCAGGCATTTTAAGGAGGTCAACAATCAACGCACTGGTACATTCCTCATAGCGGGTGTACTTTAGGCTGGAAAAGCAATCTGCCCATGTCTGCTCCCTTTGGCCTTAAGTCGTAAATTGACGTCAACATCATTTATATTCACCATAAAGTTCTGACGCATAGGATCCTAGGAGATCCCCAAACTCTGATTATTTAGTTGAATAGAACATTTGTAACAAATAATGTTACAAACTGTTACCAATGAAAGTGACCAAAGCTAAACTAGATTTTTTAGCAAGTTGTCCTGAAATGTTGACAGCTACTTTTAGAGGAATTCTTCTTTATAATGAAGTTAAACTATATGATACTTCTATGTTTAGACTCTGTGTAAATTAGCATGTAGTGCAAAGAGCTCTTTTTAGATCTGTTCCTTTTTCCTGAGATGGTTTATTTTTACTCTTGCATGTGGAACTTTGACTTAAGCTTATGTTGCAGCATTTAAAGAAGTAAAGTGGTGTTGGAAAAAAAGCCCACCAAAGGTATTTGCCTTTTAGAAGATCCCCTTCAGCGCTGTTGTGTCCGCTCTCCAGTCCATCGACTTCCATCTTCACCTAGTCTCATCTCAAGTTCAGTGTGTTTGGCCTCTTGATTGGCCTGGCTAGAATAATGTAATTCTCTTTCATGAGCATCAGAGTTAAGTAAAGGGTTATTAAACCCTCACTTTTTTTGGATATATCTACTGCTAGCAAGCAGTAGATATATGCAAAAACTTATTTTTTTTAAAAAGACCTTTTGAAACAGGTTTCAACTTGCTGTCCGAAAATCTGAAGAGTCTCGGGCGGCCGCAAAGGATCTTGGGGTGGGCACATGCGCAGTTCAGATGTTCGGCCGGTAGACGAGGAGAGACACAAGGTAAGTATATGAAGCAGCGTGCACACTCACGGACTCAGTGGAACATCAGAGAAGAGGAGGACAGAGGTGTTGGCGCTGGATCGGAGACCCGCACCAGCGCTGGAGGGACAGCTGAAAAGGACAGTAAAGAAAAATGATCGAATAAAGAGGCATGATTTAAGGTAAGTCTTAACACTAACATTGGGTGGTGGGAAAAAATAGCCTTTAATGTCGCTTTAATTTTGGCATTGGACCTTGCTGAGCCTCTGCACTAAGTTGCACATGCATAGCTCAGTACATAAAAAAGACAGGTAGATAGACACTTTTTGGCAGAAGAGACTTACACAGTCTCTCTGTCATACAAAACCTACCTCCCAGCAATTTTTAAACGGAAGTCAGCACTCCCCTTTAGGACATGTACTGTATGTACAGAAAATTTGTACAGTGGCTCCAATGTGGAGTCCTAAAAATGTGGGCACTCTTTAACTACATCCTTTTAAACAACACCCACAATTGGACCACATCCTCCAAATTCCACAATGCTATATAGTCGCCTTTTTTATTTTTTAAGGTATCCCACAACCTAGTAATGCCCCTGGTCTTCTAGAAGGCACATATTTGACTTTCCACAGTTTATGATCTGTGTATTCAGTAAATGCCATTATTGTTACATACCATCTGATCATCCAAAAAAATCAACAAATCAAAACAATGCTGCTTTGTAAAAAAGTTGCTTCAAAGGAAACTAATGTCACATTGTATTACCTTCAGTGTACCTAATGAACTTTGATAGCTGCTATGATGGCATTGCTGTTTCCTTCTCTTGTTATTAATATTACTATGCAATTTGGGATCAGATTAGGGTTAATCATGGTACAGGAAAGCTAGCATTGTAATGATTGTGTATCTCCCCATTTGTCTTTATACTGTCTCTTGTAAACACACTGATGGATCAATATGCATTTATATTTTTTTACTGACATTTTAGTATACATAGCTCGCTATGAAAATTCAGTAATTTCAATTTTTCTTGTTTTATTCTCAACTACCTTTGTGCTTTATTACTGCCATGTGGGCATCTTAAAACGTCCTATGCCCGACATGCACGAGCTGGAAACTGTCAAAATTTGAAACAGCCAGCGATGGCTGTCTACATACAAGATGCCCGATCGCTTGTATGTGGTACCTTTTGTGCGCCCCCCTCTCCTCCGCCATTGCCACGATCCCGGGCTTCCTGTGCACCGCGCAGGCCTAGGACCGGCATTGTGGCTCTGTGCAGGTGATGAAACACCACTAAAAGAAACACCACTATCTAGAGGCAGAGCCAGCTGTGCGGATCGGCTACATGTTTCTGCTCACTTCCCGATCAATAGAGCCGACCCGTGACAGCTTCCTTGTCACAGGTCGTCTCTAACTATGACGATTAGTTAAAAT